TTCTCATCATTCCCTTTCACATCCCATCACCCTTCTCAGGGCACTTCTCCTTCCTTCACTGATCCAACAAACAAACAGTTTGGTTTTAATTAGGTAGGACAAGCATTGAAGTCAGGAGCTGTGAGACCAACGAGATGAGTGGGTGGGATGTTCCTCTGCACTCCAGCCTTGTGTCCCACTGTGAGGGGTGGGAACAGTCTGGGCTGATTTACTTTAGATTTGAGCTGGGAGTAAATTGCAAGACATGAATCATCTTGACACAGATGCTGCTGAGATGGATTACCTGGTCTGGCAGCCTCTTCCTCTCTTTCCACAGGCTTGCTTTCTTCTCTCCTGTCAGTGAAAAGTTTTGTTTCCCAGACACAGGAGGGTTGCTGCTCCCACAAGTGGGTGCACAGTGCTTGTGACCTCTTTCTGCCCAGGCTGCTGTGGGTTCAGCAAACAGCTCCTCAGCACATCCCTTCCTGAGATTTTCCTCTCAGGGATCCCTATTCTTCCAAGACATGGAGCCAAGAGCTGTTATGTGCAGGGAATGTGCTCTTGCCTGGGGCTGGACTGTTGCTGCCCCTTGTTAGCAAGTGACTTTTGCCTCATCCATTGGTTCCTCTGTGGAAACCAGAGCAGGAAGCACAGAAAATGAAGCTGCTCTGTGTTTTCATCACCAGGCAGAGGGTCTCTCTCCCACTGTGGCTCTAGTGAGGGCAGCACACCTGAGACAAATGCTTGACCTCCTCACTTGTGTGATGCTGCAGGGCAGGACTCAGCCCCTGCTTTGGCCCAGCAGGGTTAACTTGCTGGTTAAATACATCCAGACACTTTGCCACCTTAAAGAATTCACACTTCACCCCACAAATCATGTGCAAAACAGGCAAATAAGCCCTGTCCCCACTTTGCAGTGATTGCAGCAATCAGAGGCCAACTCTGCACTACTCCCAGGGACTGTAAATCTGGAACTCTGCAGGTGCAGCCCCCAGGTTGATAGGGAGTGATTAGCCTTAATTCCACCTCTTCTTCTCTTTCACAACTGTTCATCCGGAGCCCCCCATGGTGACAGTAACTGCAGTGCTAATCACAGCCAGCTCGGCTGCCCAGGCAACACATGGGGTGACTGCAGCCCCCTTCTTCCTCTTCACCTTTGTCTCCTTTCTGACTCCAGCTTAACTTCTGCTGGAGCTGATTTTTAGTTTATTTTTTTTCTTAGTGGGAAAGAATTTGGAAGCAGAGGAAAATTGAGGGAGGGAAGCAGCACCCTCTGGAAGGGTCTCCAGAGGGGCCCTGCACCCTGTGGAAGCTGCCAGCCTAGGGCAGGTACATTTTGGGAGCCAACCTCTCCTACCATCCTCAGCATCTAAGCCCTGACTTAGGGTTTTCCCAGCCTTCTACTGGAGCTGGTGCTCCCAGGGTTTCCTCCTGGTCTGTGGGACTCTGAAGCCTGGCTGAGGAACGTGAGGTAGGATGCAGATTTGTTTGCATTTATTTTTTTAGGAGGTGGTGAATTTTGAAGAGCAGCCTTGCTTCCTCTGCCCTCCATCTCTTTATCCAGATCCCTTTGAACAAATCATTCCTTTTGCAGAATTCCGTTGTTTAATTTTGCCAAGTGCTGAGTTTCAATCTCCTATTAATTGGGTTTTGCCCATTTTTGTGCATTACATTAAATGAAAAAATGCCACACATAAAATTTTAGTTTTGAAAGCTGCCTTGTTTGTTTTATGTTGAAATTACCCAGGCTGCTGGGGCCTGCAGAAACAGACGCTTTCTCATTTCATTAAAAACTCTTTGTGATGATAAAAAGCAGCAGAAATGAGATAAAAAGTGGTGTTTCCTTAAAGGCACATGAAAGAGAGAGAGAGAGATAAATCCCATGCATTGTTGGGGATCAAATCCAAGGCAAGGCTGCAAAGCACAGATACTGGTGGGGGGGCTGGGCTGGCACTGCCCCCCCAGCCACAGCCCCCTCCCCAGGCAGCCTTGGCTCTGCCTGCTCTGCCCTTGCCCGTGTTCATTCTGTCCAGTGGGACCTGGAAATTAGCACAAATTGAGAACAAACTTCCAGCTTCACACTTGTTTTCTTCTCTTTTTACCCCCATCCCTTAACATCAAAGTGATTTTTTTCTTCCTCTTGAGTTCCAATATTCTTTAGCAGTTGCTGAATTGCTATTCAGCTTTGCTGAATTTTTCCACCCACTGCCGTTTAAAGGTCATTTAATTATTATAACAAAGAATTACAGGAAGATAGAGAATTGTCTAAATGCCTTAAGCAGCAACAGGTTTTTAGCAATGGATTTTTTATAGTGATGTACATGGGATTAGGACTTGCAGGTTTGCACTAAGTGTTGCTCAGGGCTCTTCTCTTCACCCGTGTCCCGGGGCCAGAACCGCAGGGTCTCAGCGGTGGGGATGGGGCAGCGCTGCCCCCGGAGCCGTTCCGAGATTCCTTGGGCGTTTCAGGCCGGGTTTCACAGCCCCTGACCGCCGGGCCCTGCTGGCCGGGCTGCTCGGCTGTCCCGCAGCATCCCCGGCCGTGCGGGCAGTCCCGCTCCGCTCGGCAGCCCCGCCGGGGTGTCAGGACGGGCCCCGGGAATCCCGGGGCTGCAGAACCCGCCGCACCCTGTAGGTGGGAGCCCAGGAACGCGGATCCCGCGCGGGGGTCCCGCGGGCCCCGCACCCCGGGGCTGGTGCTGCCTCTGCCCCTCCGCACAGCACCGCTGGCTCTCCCGGGCCGTCACCCCTGAGGGGCAGGGCTGTCCAGGCGAGGTTGGACACTTTCTCTTTGCAATCCTCCTCCGTTCCCGCCCCCTGCTCCCCCTCCAGCGCCGCCCGAGCCGCCGCTCTCCCTGGCCCTCCCGTGGGAAGAGCTGCCCCCACATCCACAGGGATCGTGTCTGTGTGGGAGCAGCCCCAGGTGTGTCCTGACAGCAACACCCTGAAATGGGGACTGGGCTCCGTGCCTCCTTAGGTCTGTGGCTGAGGAAGCTGGGGATTGATCCAAGCAAGACGTTAGAACAGGCCACTGAGTTGATACTGTTAGGATTTCTTAAGGGGCTGTTGCATGAGCAGGTTTTTCCCTTCATTTCAGCAGCATGTTAATGAGCAGAGTCACTGCTAATGGAAACATAAACAAAAACTGAAAGCCAGTCTATTATTTTCATGGAAACATTTTCTACCCAAGTGCAGTTATCACTGGTAAGCAGCCAGCTTTCCACAGCAACACTGCATGGACCAGGAAGGGAGAGGAGGTGCTGCTGCTCTGTCAATGCAGGTGGCAGGATAGCAACTGGGGAGCTGGGAGAGGCACCCCTGGTTTATCTTCTGCTCTAGGCAAGTGGAACTTGTTGGCATTTATTGTACTAAGAAATCAAGATTATAAACCAAAGGAAATAGTTCCACTTCTGGAAAGACTGACTAGCCCAGCAGTACAGCAGACGTACCAAGGTGACTGGAGGATGGCTTCACCTGGGCCTTAGCCTCTCTGTCACCTACTCTCTGTATCATATCATCCTTTTTATCCCTAATGCTCATTCCACAAAGCTAACTGTGAAACCTTCTTCAGTCTCTAGGTGGAAAGCTGAGAAAGCAAATCTAATTGCTAATTACTAGACAAGGGGTAATTTCTCCTAAACAGTGAAACTAAAAGCGTGACTGCTTCTCTGCCCTCTGTACTTGATGTCAGCTGTGAATCAGGCATGTGGGCTGGGAGGACGTTGTCAAAGTCTGGCAAGGTCCTGACTGAGAGGCCTCAGATCCCACATGCTGTTCCTGAATACTGTGTCTTTTAAGCTCTCTGCTCCAGATGCTGTTTTGCAATAAATGCATCACTCTTTTTGTACCCTGTTGTGTAAAAGTGGAAAGACAGGCTGAGGCCTGGCTGTGCTCTCCCCCTGAGGTACACGGGCAGGCCTGAGCAGACAGGGAGTGGGGCTGGGCAGGGGCCAAGGCCCTGGTCACAGCATCCTGAGCGTGGGGCTGTGCCAGGGGAGCTCCCTGGGCTTGGATGCTTCTGAAATCCACAGCACCCTGGCTGCTGCAGTTCCACCCCAGCACAGCAGCCCTGGCAGTGAGGAAATCCCCAGCCAAAGGCAGCAAAAGCAGAGTCTCCCCTCACGCAGACAGGCTGCTCTGACAGGAGGCAGGGAGAGGCAGCGAGGGGAGCGGGACTCGGCGCCGCGCGGTCCTTGCCCGCCCTCCCAGCCCCCTGCCAGGCTCTGGGGTGAGCTTTACCGCTCACCCGGGGCCGGGTAACACCTGCAGCCCGAGCAGGTAGGAAGCACCTGGGGGCCCTGCCGGGACGCCGGACAGGCTGAGTCCCGGCGCTCGGAGCGGGTCCCTGCGCTGACATCGCGGGGGGAGCCGAGCGGGCTGTTTGTCTTTCTGCCCCGCTGACACATCCGTCTCCCGGGAGGGCTCCGGGGCAGCAGGGCCGTCCCGCATTGCGCAGGCAGCGCAGCCCCGACCAGCCCCTCTCCGGGGCCGCGCTGACCGGTTTCCTGGCCTTGGGAAGGGGGAAATGGGAGTTTCCCGAGTTTCCTGGCCGGGGTCGCGCACGCAGCTCGGTGCCTGGCAGAGCCGGGAATCCCGGTCAGCACGGCCGTACCGGGAGCACTGGGGAGACCCAGCCTGTGTCCCGAGGGGCTCACGGTGAGCCCACGTATCCCCAGAGGTCCCAAAGCTGCTGTCGAGTTAACCCCTTGGGTTTGTAGACTTCAGTGGGGTTTGTAAGGGAAGGGCTGTGATGTCCTTCCCGTGCCCCGGGCTGGGGCAGAGGGTCCCGGGCTGGGGCGGTGGCTGCTCCCTCCTGCTGTGGACACCAAGAGCTGCCAGGTGAGAACACATCCCCACGAGTCAGGGAGATGGTCCTGCTCTTGGGACGGGAAATTCAACAAGAAACCACAGAGCAGAGAGCTCAGGGCTTTGTCCCCCTTTGCTCAGGAAGTGTTTGACACTTTGGTTTTTGTCACATGTCTCCGTTCATCCTGGAGAGATCCTACAGATGACTAAGAGCCATGAGCCACGATGCTGCTGTCCTGGCCTTGCTGACCGACTCGTTCTGCCCCTGGTGCTGAGCTGGGGCCCTCAGGCACTGTGTGCCCACATGCTGGAGGGACAAATTGGACATGCTTCCCTTGGGAGCTGCAGGGATCTGAGCCCGGCGTGGTTTGGGAGGCTTTGTCCCCTGCAGGGTGAGGGGCAGCCCTGGGCAGCTCTCTGGGGCTGTGCTGTGTCCCCTCTGTGTGCCCAGAGCACAGTGAGCTCTGTGGCTCCTGCCCCGAGGCAAGGTCTGCTCTGTAGGATCATCCCACTGGGGAGGAGCAGGAGGGCTCCTGGCACTGCTGCCCTTGGCTCCCTTCTCTCAGGTGTGCTCGGCTTTCAACTCCTTAGAACAAGAGCTGTCTGCTTCCCAGATGGATGGGACTTCTGAAGAGGTATTTGCTCAGCAGTAGGAATAAATCCTCTGCTCTTCACGTTGCTCTGGGTGGGATAAAATATTCTGTGATGATCTATTTAAACATCTTAGGTTAATACCATGAAATGTTTGTTCAACTTATATTACTCTTTTAGCTCTGAAGCAGTAAATGCTCCCAGGCATGTCAGAGTACAGCAACTCCATGGCTACAAGATGCTGCATCTAAACAATTTGGGTTGAGCAGGCAGGGATGTTTCTGGAAAAGGGGACAGCTGGTATTTTCCAGTGGAGGGGTCATGACTAGGAAGGGCTTGGCTGTAGCTGCTGTCACCAGAGGCACTTGCGTAACCGCTTGGTTTTCCCCATCATTCTTTATTGGTTGAGTCTGTTGCCTTTCTCTGCTTTTGCCTCTGCTGTGGTAAACCTGAGGTTCCCTGGTGAGCCAGGAGTGCTTCTTTGGGAAGGAGAGGGTGCTCCCTGAGTGCAAATGCTCCAGGTACTGCAGCTAAACACCTCTGCTGGGACAAGTTGATTGCAGCAGGGAGGATCCATCCAGGTACTGCCACCGATGCCTCCTGGGCTGGGGCAGTGGGACCAATCCTCCGTGGCTTTGGAACAGGGATGTGCGGGAACCACTTTCCCAGGCCCAGCCAAGCCCCTTCCTTGCTGCCAGGATGGTTGACAACCAGGTTTTCTTGGCAGCTATCATGACAGCAGCCGTGGTTTGTCAGTGCCTTGCTGGTGTGCAGGTTGACCTTTCATGGAAGGCTTCAGGAGACACACACCGAGCTGCACAGCCTGAGGGTAGGACAGAGAGGAAGGATCTATTTCACAGCTCCCTCCATGGGACAGCCCAGGTGACAGGAAGGCTTCCACTGTCTCTGTCCCTTCAGTCCTCAACAATAACAGATTTATTTTTTATAGTCAAAAAGACCTTGAAAGGATGGCTCTTTTTCTTGGCAGAAGCACAAGAGAAAAATATAGGGTGTGCCCAATCCATCTGTCACTGAGGAAGTCAACCTGTCCTATACCTTAATGCCATCATTCACTAAGACCAAAGGTAGAGATCAAGGCTGCTTACTTGGAGTAGTACCTAAGGCCGTGTCTAGTCAGGCACACAGGCAGCTGCAGTGACAGCCAAATAAATTACTCTGGCATGGTCCCTGGGGATTGTGTGCTCTCCTCCAGAGCAAGTGATTGCCTCCAAAACACATCTACTCTGCAGGGAGCCCTCGGGCTACACAGGGAGTAAGTTACTCTGCAAAGTGCCTGTGAGGAGCTCCTTAAAAGCTAGGAAATAAGTTCAAGAGATAATATTTCAGAGAAAAATCAGTCTATTTGTCTGCAGCTGCAGAGGAATCCCATACTAGTGGGTGAAGGCAGCACTGGGCAGGTGGTGTGACGAGCACCGTGGGCACACAGGATCAAAACGCGAGTCAGTAAGTTCTGCACATCCTTGTTTGGCTTCTCCTCTAGTTCTCCCATTTTCTAGTTCTCTCCACTACATTTTCTGTTTTCCTGAGAAGACTTGCAGTGCCGTTTCTCCTCTTGAATCCCTGTGACATGGAGCAGTGAGTCAGGATGCCAGGAGCACTGGCCCAAGGCATATGCCCAGTGTCTGACCTTCCCGCTGCTGCCTCTGCTGGGAACACTTCCAAGCTGGAGCAACACATCAGCTGATGGGCTCTCACTCTGGCAACCAGCTATGATGCTGCCATCAGAGACGTCTGTATTGAAGCAAGCAAGAGAAGCAGATGGTCTCTCAGTCAGTCTCTCCATAAACATGAGTGGTTGCAGCTATAAAAGCAAACTGCTCTAAAGGGAGGTTGCTAAGCTTTCCTTCCAGCATCATGGCTTGGCTTTCCTCAGGAGACGTGATGACCCTCTTCCAAAGAAAGGGTGTAAGTCATCACTTGTTTTTTCCTTTAATTCCTAGATGTGCTGAGTTCTGTGTAATAAATTACACTGCTCATTGTAAAAGAAAATTCAGCTGCAGCTCTGCCAACCTTTGGCATCCGTGCCTCGCAGGTGATGGGATGGCCCCATTAGCCTGCCTGGTGTTCCCATCACCAGGAGCTCCTGTTGGTAAGTGCAGTGGGATGAGCCTTGAGGTCACTCCACAGATGAACAGAGGATTTCTGATGTCAAAGCTGTCAGGAGCACACTGATCCCAAGCCAGCCAGCCCCAGCCCTGTTCCCTCCCAGAGAGGCTCAAGCTCTGAGCACATACAGGTACCTGCCCCTCATTGCTTGGGGCTTGTCTGCACAGGACTCTTAACAAAGTTAGATTGAAGTAACTAAATCTTAAGTGGATTAAAGAGCATTAAAATTCTGCATAAAACTCTAATTCAGAATTAAAGTGGCCTTAATTCAGTTTAATTTACTCCCAAATGTTACTTAAATAAGGCCATTTAAATTGTTCTTAATTTACATAAGTGGTCCCATATAGACATTTAATTAGCCCATTTTTAAAAGCGAGTTAGCTGCCTTGAGCTTCCATAGGTAGGCAAGCCAGGTCCATGGCCCCTTTGCTGACAGGGCTCCTGACTGAGGCTGGTTAGCAGTACTTCAGCAGCACTGGCATCTCTTCCCAAGGAAGTGGCTCAAGGCCAGCTTCTTCCCCGCCAGCAGATAATAAGATCCTTGAATACCACCTATTCTGAGTGTGTTAAATGTACTAGTGGGAGATTAAAGGCTTTGCCACGATGAGCTCTTCCTTTAACATCTGAGACAAGGGAGTGGTAATCCCTAGAAAAATCCCTAGAAAAAATGTGATGTCAAGATTTTACAAAAGGAGCCAGACTGAAGGAAAGTTGACATTGAGTCAGCAGAGGACAGGAAGGAGACAGAAGACTGGGAGGAACTGAGACCATCCCTGATCTCCTGCTATCACTGGCTACCTCGCTGGCACTGCTGCCCCCGGATGCTTTTTTTGCTCCCTGGAAGCCCTGATTCCAAAAGATAACCCCTCTGCAGCCTGAGACACGCTGCTGCCAGCCCTCAGCACCAGCCTGGCACGGGTGGGCTCATCCTCTGGTCCATCCTCTGGCCTTGCCTGCCCGCTGCCCTCCCCCGCGCTCTCACCAGTTCCTCCCCAGGAAAGGCCCCGGGTGTGCATGTGCTGCTGGGGATTTCCACCTCCTTCCTGTGGGCGCGGGTTCCTCCCGGGATGGAGGCTCCTGAGCACGGCCCTCTGCAGAAAGGGGATGGTTCTGCCTCCTGCTCAGCCCCCCCCCCCGGTCCCCAGCCAAGTCCCCCCAGGCACCCTGGGCTGGGGACCTGTGTC